GCCGGGTCAATCGGGTTAATCCAAGTCGAGTCGATCGTGTCATGGACAGATCAACCAAATTTTGGCCAGATCAGTTCGAGTTTAGAACGGCTCGACTATAAGTAAATAATCAACCCATACCAAGACCATGTCACATAATGCTATAATTATAAGATCAATTATACATTTATTTTTTTACTACATAAGCTAATCAATATATGTATGTACATTAATTTATTTAATTTAATTTTTCTGTGTGTGTGTGTGTGTGTGTGAGGACACATAAATAAGCAAAAGAAATTTGGAAGGGGATATTGGCCTCATACTTGGCTTTATTTGTTTGGATTCTGTTTAAGGTTTCAACATCACTGCTTTGTTCAGTACTTACTATACAGTTTACGTTTCCAACATTCTTTCTCAATCCCATACGCTTTTAATTCCTCATCTTCTTACCATACAACTCTCTGAACGAAGTATTGAGAGATTCTACGGTCTCGTTACAGAGTCATTCCGTCGGGGTTTGTAATTTGATCTAACAGTTACAAATCCTGACGGAATTGTTCCGTAACGGGACTGTAGCATTTACCCTAAGCATTTGGCTACCAATTTTATTCCATGTATATATTTACCTTTTATTTTTATCATTTATTCTATTTCTTAGTTCATGAAAAACACTTTTTTCCCTTTAATCACAATTCATATATGAATTGTGTACAATAATATTAATATGTGTACAATAAATTTAAAAAAGAACCCTTTTCCACATCAATTTACTCTGAATAGACAAATAGTCAAACCTATTTCATGATCTACTTCAGAATAACTAGCTTTGAGACAAAAATAGAGCTGTAAACGAGCTGATTCGAGCTCGAGCACCTGATACTCGGCCTTGAGTTCTTCATCAACCCGAGCTAAGCTCAACTCAGTAGCTGATCGAGCCGATAAATGAGCTCGATCTTGACAACTCGATCCTCAACGAGCCAAACTTGAATCTTAATTAACGAACGAAAACTAATTTAATATTTCGAAAACTACGTAAAAGTTCTTATTTATATATCGAGCTTAACAAGTTTGCTCAGCTCGTTCTCTAAGCTACTAAAGATTAAGCCAAAAGCCGACCAAGCCGAATTTACGAGCGGTCGAGTCCATTTATCAGCTCTAGTCATGAAGTGACATTAGACACACACAATGGCGTGTGTGGGGAGGGTAAGAAAGGAAATTAAACTCTTGTAATATGACGGACTCATTAACTATTCGTACTAGATAGTATATAGTACGTACCAAACTATTTTTCGCTAAAGAAAGTGTTTTGGTCCTTTTCTGAATTATGGAGCTTGTGCTTTTTGTGCTAAATCAATGTCAGCAGAACAAAACACCAGTAAAATCCATGCAGAAAGCCATGTGAAGGATGCTTTTCAGTTTTGACTACATATATTATTACAATTTCACATCAAATACAAACAAATAAGCAAATTATTAAAGTTTTGTACGAGGAGCCAATGCCTTTCTTTTTCTTTTCTTTTTTTTTTTTGGTAGCCAGCCACGGTTTCCAGAGCTATGCCCCGAGGCCCCCGACTAATCCGTTGATCGACATGGATCGCATACCTGACAGTGGTGGGTGAGTCTCCCAACGAGGGTTTTCTGTATCTACAAGGACTTGAACACAAGACCTTGCTTAAACGACATCAAACTGCTTATCACTTGAGCTAACATCTGTTGGTGAGCCAATGCCTTCTTTAATCAATCATATTACTATCAGTTAATTAATAAGTAAATAATTAATATGATTAATTAATGAAGATCATAAGACCACATTTGGAGTATAGATTATTAGATTCTATGGCACGTTTTGCTTAGTTTAATTAGTTATCTGTAGCATTATAACACTAGTGTAATACGAGAGTATTGATTAACAAGTTTATAACTAAAAAATTAAAATTAATATTTAAATTTGTAAATAATTATTCAAACAACAAATTATTATTTTTATTTGAAATGACACTTCGTAAATCATAAAGATAAATATAATTCGTCTACTTTATGAATGTCGAATAAAAATTTGATATTTTAAAAATCATTATAGACAGGGGCGAAACCATGTTGAAGGTCGGAGAGGCTCCAGCCCTTCAAAAAAAAAAAAAATTCGAACTAGGGATGGAGAGTTTTGCTGGAACTAGAAGGGCGTCCTTTGAGCGTCCTTCCGATGCCGGAGTGGGGGTGGTGCGCCACGGGATGGCCGGAGGGACGCCACCGGAAATCCAGAATTCGAAAACACAGAGCAACTAAGCAGGGAGGCATGGAGCAAGGAGAGGAAGCTGGATCGGAGAAAATTTGTGTTTGTGTTTAGTTTTGTCGTGAATTTTTTTTAAATGCAAATTGGGCCTCCCAAAACGGGATCCTGGTTTCGCCGCTGATTATAGACATTGATAAAATTGTATATCTAAATGAATAGATTCCAAACAACGGAATTCAACATATAAAATTGTATAAAAAATTGACATAAGCAAAAACATAGGACTAAATTAATTTTATAACACATTTATCTTTTTTAATAAGTTTGTTTGTAATTCACCACCCAAATTGACCAAAACACCCTTGGTGGGGAGAGCCCTTCATTATCAGGCTAGGCAACTTGATGGTGTTGTGGTCCTGAGCACACAGAAACAAACAGCAGAGGATAAAATAGTAATTACAAAGGACAAAAGGCCAGTTGTAAATTGTAATAGGAACCACATAACCAAAAAAAAAAAAAAAAAAAGTTAATATCAGCATGTTCCACGGCTCAGAAAAAAATGATCCCACAAAAGCACTAACGCCTATTTGTCTCTATTTTATATATTTATTTATTTCTATTTCTATTTATGTATATATAATATTTATATAGAAATAAATATTTATATCTAGGGACTAGGGTAGTGTGAAGGTTTTAAGAAACATTTAAAACAAAAGAATTGTATAGGTGAAAATTGTGTGTACATTCAGGTTAAAAATGAATTAGACTTTGAAATATTTGTATAAGTTTGATTAGGCTAAATTGACCCATGCGGCCATGCCATTTGATTTTCATGAGTTAGGTGGACAAATTTGACTCTAGACCTTTGACATGAAGGATGCTATGTCAGTAGCATATGATTAGCTAGTTTACGCTAGATTCCAAATTATTTTCCGAGACAGTTTAACTTTTAGGCGAATCAATCCGTCATAACTTTTCTTAACTATGCAGTAATGCATATATGCTGATATATTATGATTATCTAACCGTTAGGCCTGACTAATAATAACAACTTCACTGTATTTAGATTTATCCAAATATTTTGTTACAATAAGGACTCCTTAAATAGACTTGTCAAAATGACTACCTCGAGTCAGCTCGACTCATTGGGCTAGCCCAATTAGAAAACCCCGATCCAATTCATGCCCGGAAAAATCAAGGTTCGACCCAACATATCCTCTTCAAGATCATACCTCGTACTTTCTCTAGTAAGAACCGATCAATTTACGGATCGACTAACAAACGCAAACCCGAACCTAAAACACGTATTGATGAAACGATATATGGTCCAAACTTTATATCTTTCTTTCTTATCTATCTATTCTATATCTATACTATTATAAAAGAGTCAATGAATCTGTAAAAATATGATATCCCTAAATTAACCTTACTTTGTCATGTTTATAATGTCAATTTTGTAATTTAATATCCACATTCTATACTAATATTTTTAATTAAACACATTCTAGATCTTGGGGTTTATGTATGTTGGTTTGGCCCAATTATCAATGCCGTCTATTTGTCAAAATTTCTCCCTTTTGAATATCTTGTCACTCCCCATTTTCACTTTTTGTTTGGAACTTTTACATTTATTTAAATAAGATTTTCAATGATATTAAAATCTGAATAAACTTTTAAAAATTATCAAAATGTTAAATTTTACATTTATTTAAATAAGATTTTCAATGATATTAAAATTTGAACAAACTTTTAAAAATTATCAAAATGTTAAGTTAGTGTACAGAAAAAACAAAATTATGACATTACCTTACCAAATACTCATTTTTTTTAAAATTTAGACAAGCAATGGATCTCTGTACCAAAAAAAATAATAAAAACAAAAAATAAATAAATAAATAACGCGTTCAGTATGATAGATAAGGAAAAAACTAATAAAAAATATTATTGCTTCACATGAGCAATTGATTTTCAAGATGAGCGCTCTATAAACAATGATAATTCAAATTTTTGTATATTAAATATTTTATTTATTGACATTATTTTAAGATTTGTAAATATTTTTATGATTTTCTCAATAATTTTAAGAGTTTATTTAACCATAAGTATATAAGATAAATTTCTTAGCAATATTTATTTAATTTTATAAGTTTATTAATAACAAATATGTTAGTATTAAATGTGACATGGAGGCCAAAACTATCGCTAATTATACATAATATGAATGTTTAATTTAAATCAATTTTATTTCTTAAGCAAAAAAATAAAAAAACAATACAATTTAC